CTCACTACGCGCGGGATCAAATTTTGTGCACTTAAAATCAGTGAATTAGTACTGAGGCACCTTTGGTTATAGACTACACAGAAAAGGTACTTATCAGAAATAAATAGAGGATAAATTTCAGTACTAAGAAATCGCAAGTCGCTGGTTAGTGGCCGATTAGCACCCCATTTAAGTGAATTACTGATACTACTAAAAATGGATTAGCAAATAAATTTGGGTAGGATAACTGGAGGTGCCCTGCCACTTATACAATACTTTTAAGTGCACAAAATCTAACCCCGTGCCTAGTGTCTATCTGTAACCCAGCCCATACGGTGTATTTCCAACACCATTCCGCTCCCTGTAATCTCCAATATCCTCTTTGTTCAAGATATCGATTTCGACCTTGTCAAGTATCTCGCTCCTGGCGCCAAAACACTTTCTGAAGGGGAGGCCTTGCGTCTTGCCATCGATGCTCTACCTCAACAAGAGCGGTTTATAGTGCGCAACTTGATTGAATATATCAAGGAGAGGCAGAGGTATATACCCGCGTCGGTCTTAGATAGATTGGAAACAATATCTTTTGTGATCGCTGGGGATTCGAAGATCTCTGCACCAAAAAAATTGCTCGATCCAGTATGCGAGGCCGCATCGCTTTACTCCCCAAACGACCGGTATGTCCCGAAAGATGAAACTAGAATAGTCGATGCACTTCGCACCCTAGGTGCATTCAAGACCACGATAGACCCTGAAATGGCGCTAGAAAGAATCGAGTTTATATCCTCTCATTCAGATCTGATCACTCGTCACAATCTAGCTATGAAGCTATTTAGTCTGATTCAGACTTCATCTTTCAATCTTTTGGAGCTAAAGGTCGATGATAGGCTGGAGTGGGTTCCTTCTGACGACTTCAAAGTTGTTCGTCCCAGCGAATGCTACGACCCTCTCATATACCCATTGTCATTGTTCAACCGTGTCGCAAAAGTGATTCAGCCCTCGCTCATTGTCTCCCTTCCCCTTCGAAGTCTCCTAGGTTGGAATGTTGCGATCAGACGGGATGTCATCCTCAATCAATTCAAAGCAAA